GGGGAATAAAGGTGAATTAGATAAGAAAAGGTGAAAGGCACGCCTGCCATGTTAGATAAATGCCTCAAACAGGCAACAACCCTCCACACTAGAGGGCCAATTTGACCTAAACAAACGTCGAAAAAACGACGAAATTCAAGGATAACAGGGTCAATAGCAGGTTTGAAACCTAGTGTGAAAGGGTATGTATAAACAAAAGAAAACCTAATTAAATAGGAAGTAATTCTCTGGTTTGCATTGGGGATTATAATAGGGAAGTCATGACTCCAATGGCATTCTTTGCGAACCAAAGTAATCAGACCCTCAATAATTTGAGTGGGGTAGATATCAGCACGATCTAAAGAAGACACTTGATTTCTAAGGGATTCTCTATCATTATAGAAAGATAGTTCCGCAGGAACTATTTCATCTATTGAAGGCTCACAAACGAGGTTCATAAGGTTCCTTACCCCTAGAAGAAGATCTTTGAGAAAGAGAACCTCTGGTTCTAGAAGAAGGACNTCAAGCTTAGCTCTTTCAACTGGACCAATCAAAGGTTTTAGCCACACGTCTGCTTGACCTAATTTCCTTAAAATGTTACCCTCAGCAGGAACTTCAATGGTTACTTGCCTCATAGCAGTACCTCTACTTGAGGAACCAACCTCAGTATGATGAACAGGTGGAGGGGGAATTGTTAAAGGAAGGACAGTAGAAGCAGTAAAAACAGTCTGGGGAGGAATGGAAACAGCCACGATCGGCAAAGAAGGAGTCACAGGAACGGAAGTAGAAAAAGAAGCCAGGGGCGCTTCATCAAAAACCGGACGAAAATCTTCACTACCAAACCCGCGGTTAAAAAGTTGCTCAACAGAATCATGAGCAGCAGCGGGAACATCATCAACATCATCAGGAATCACCACTGGGGCTTCAACAGACTCGGTAAGAGGAATAGAACGGTGGGGGGATGCTTCATCATCAGAGATAATACGTCTACGAGCCCGTGACCTTGTTACCAAGGAACCCCCATCTTCATCTTCTTCAGAGTCTTGGTCATCAATGACTTATCTTTTCGATGAAGAGCCCAAAATTATTTCTTGGGCCCTTTCCAAAGAAATACGAGAAGCCACGACCGCCTCGGCACTAATCCCTCGAACTGCAAATCCTGATAAAAAGAAGGATTAAAATAAGTTCAGGAAAAATCAATATGTGAAATAAAAAAAAACTCTTACCGTAAGTTTTAACTTTCCAACCAAATTGTTGGGAAAGAGTCTTCGAGGATCTACCCTCCATTGGGGCAGTATTCAACAACTTTCCTACCCAAACACGGAAATTGGGAACAACGTCCACAACTCCCTTGGTTGTTGGAAAAGAAAAGGAAAGTTAGAATGAATAATCATCAAAATTGAAGGGAAAAAGGTACGAGAAAATTACTCACGTGCAAAATTCCACTTCCCGGGGAAGGGAACATTTCCATCACCCACCAAACCAACGGTGGGGGCAGCAACAAACCTGGCATACCAGCCACGGTCTCTGTCACCCTCTAGACTAACCAGAACTCTTTTGCTCCTTGCTAATAGAGTGAAAATGCCATTGCGAAAGAGTCTGGGGGAGTAAAGATGAATTAGATGTGAAAAGGTAAAAGGCACACCGGCCATATTGGTCAAATGCCTCAAACAGGCAACATACCTCCACACTATAGGGCCAATCTGACCTAAACATACGTCGAAAAAAACGACAGAATTCTAGGATGACAAGGTCAATAGCAGGTTTGAATCCTAAGGTGAAAGGATATGTATAAACAAAGGAAAATCCCATCAAATAAGAGGTGATTCTTTGGTTTGCATTAGGAATTATGATGGGGAAGTCATGACTCCAATGGCAGTCTTTACGAACTAAAGAAATCAGGCTTTCAGTGATCTGAGTTGGGTAAATATCAGCATGATCTAAAGAAGGTGCTTGATTTCTAAGAGACTCTCTATCATTATAGAAAGATAGTTCCACAGGAACTATCTCCTCTACTAGAGGTTCACGAAGAGGCTCAAAGGATTCCTTACCTCTAGAGGAAGATCTATGTGAAAGAGAACCTCTGGTTCTAAAAGAAGGGCTAGAACTAGATGAAGGAAGAGAAGAACCACGTATGGATGAAGACCCTAAATTACGTAGTCTACCTCCTCCTCTTCTACTCCTATTAGGGACAAGAGGAAAGCTATCAATTATGGGGACTCCCCTAGGGTTAGGGTTTGGCGAAGCCATAACAGTACGAGGAAGGTAAAGAACAAGAATTGTATATTCTTAAAGTTTTACGAGGAAGATGGAAACAAGAATTGAATACTCTGAAAGCTTTATGTGGAAAAGACAAAGGCGAAAAACTATATTTATACTAGGAAGCAACCGTCAAAGGAAAAGGTACAATGATGGAAAGGTCATAATAAGAACTGTCGCTTCGTGATTAGTGAAGCCGTAAAAAAGCCTTAAAAAGCGATGCAAAGTCGCAGAGCCAATAAAAGGGTCCCACATGTAATAAGCATTAAATGGAAGTGAAAATTGAAGCATTGATTCTTTCGTAGCATTAATGGTAGCAAATATTCCTGCTTTAATAAAATCCACTTGCCAAATATTCAATTGATGAATAAATGGCAAGTGGGGGGACTATCTGTATTGGGAAAAATTGAATTTACATATTGGAGTGATTGAAAGATGACGTGTCATGACACGAAGGCTGGTCAAAGAATGAAGGTATGCAAAGAGGCACGAGTTGCAACAGATACGAGCAGAGGCACGAGCGGATAAAGACTCGACGCTCGTACCTATTTAAATCTAAAAGTTAAGAAGAATGAAACTGACAGCACAAGAGAGTACAGATACAGTATTTAATAAGTATTAAATACTGAAAACGTTAGAGAATCTATATTAAATTGCAATGATTATGTAACATAGCATTTAATGCATTTAATTGTCTATGATGACCTTATTATGACAAAGGCAAAACGTATATCTTAGAGATAGCTATAAAAAGGAGAAGATTGGTCATTTGTAAGGATACACAATATCAACTGAATATACTGGATTACTTTATTTTCTGCTATCTATTTGTTGTCAAAATCAATTTATTTTATTCATTTCCAATTATTAGTAACCCGAGTTCTTCTAAAAATAAAGCTTAGACTGAAAATCCATTTTTTTGTTAAACAGTAACATGGGACTTAAGTTGGTTACGTATATTTGGAGCCCGTTTGGATGAGCTTATTTTAAGTGATTTTTAAGTCAAAATAGCTTTTAAGTCATAAGTTAGGAAATCCAGCTTTTGATTTTTGGCTTGTTTTTTTTCATTTTAGCTTAAAAATAAGGGCTTAAAAGCATTTTTTTACTTTATCCAAACACTACAAAATAGCTTAAAAGTTATTTTAGCTTAAAAACACTTAAAATAAGCCAATGCAAACGCGCAATTGGTTACTTTTTTAAATTTTTACTTGGACTTTTCTATACACTTGACACTGATGGGGCTTTTGGAACAGGACAACATGCATGTTTTGGAGCAAAATAGCAAATATAACAATGTTGGTCCTCTTACCCAAAAAAAAAAAAAAAAACAATGTATATTGTAATTGGTTCGTCACTCCCGACAGTATTTATTTTGATCTTTCCCTCTATGTCCACTGAATAAAATAATAATGAATTGTTTCATTCGTTCACTTTTACTTGTCCACTATACTATAAATATATTTTTAATTTTACTTGTTCATTATACAAAATGAAGAGAAAGACAATCTTTTTTTTTCATGTTTTACCCTTATCATTAACTAGTCATTCCCCATATTATTTACCAAGACTATTGGAAATGTTATCATTATTATGGATAAAAATATAAAATATATACTCCATTTTTTTTAAATGGAGTGTAAAGCCAAAAGCGGACAACTTAAAGTGAACGGGGGAGTATTATTTTTTTGTTAACTACAATAAATTCTATTATCAGGGATTAGGGAAAGAGTAATTACAAACAAAACAAAACCCCTAAAGTTGGACATGTAACCCCAACTTTATTTAATGCAAAATCTGTACGTACACAAACCTGTAGCTAACTATCTGTCAAAGCTAAAATAAAGCAAACAGCCCTTATAGCACCTAGTTGAGATTGTCTATCACTATTTATGGATAAAAATTATGCTTATGCATTATCTCGCCAATCTTCATCTTTTATTATTATTATTATTATTATTGGTAATAACTTGTGAATATTACCATTAACAACAAAACTTCTATACATGTAAAAGAGTTTTATATGTTATAACCACTTTCTTGTCATGATCCAAAACCCAACTAGTCGTGATGACATCTAACTCAACCCGTTAGGTAAGCCAGTTAACAACTATCTAATTTAATGAGATTTATTAAGAGAATAAATGATATTACAATTGCTTTTATACAAGAATTTCCCAAGGACTGATAGTACAAATCATGAGCTTCTAAGATTCAGATTTTACAAAGCTAGTGTAAAATAAATACATCATCTGTCTGAATTATTGATTGTCAAACATCTACCATGGATGCTTCTAGATTGAGCTAAGAGAGATCGGAGCTTAGAGAGGTAAGCAGAGAAGATGAGAAAATGTTTTCACTGTTACATTGATTAGCCACCTATACACATACTTATACAGTGTAGTCTAACTAACTCTAACTAACTCCTAATTAAATAATTACCAACTAACCTAACAGACCATTTGCCAACTAAGTGACAGCTGGCTTCCTCATTCATGTGACACCTTTAACACTCCCCCTCAAGCTGTGTAATGTGAATAGATTGAACATTCCCAGCTTGGATAATAAGAAATCATGTTGCGCCTTTCCTAAACCTTTAGTTAAAATATCTGCCAGTCTCAAATTTGTGGGCACATGCTCTGTTTGTATAAGCCCTTCTTGTATCTTCTCTAATGAAGTGACAATTGATTACTATGTGCTTCGTTCGTTCATGATAGATAGGATTAGCAGCAATTTGCAGTGCTGCCTTGCTATCACAATACAGTTTAACAGGAAACTCCAGCTTCATCTTCAATTCCATACATAATCCAAATGAGCCAAACTATTTCAGCAATTGCATTGCCCATACTTCTGTACTCTACCTCTGCTGAACTTCTTGACACTGTATTTTTTTTCTTTGATTTCCAAGAGATTAAGAAGTCTTCCAACTTAACTATGAATCCACTAACTGACCTTCTTGTCATCGGACAAGTGGCCCAATCTGCATCACAATAGACTTTGAGCTGTGAGGAAGGCTTAGAAGATAACAAGATGCCCAAACCACGTGCATTCTTCAAGTACTTCACCACCCTTAGAGTTGTTTTCATATGTGATCTCTTTGATCTTTGCATAAATTGACTCAGGTTTCTGCACTGTGTAGCATATATCTGGTCGAGTCATTGTTAGGTATAGTAGCTTCCCCACCAGATTCTGATAGCTATTGTGATCAGACAACAACTCATCAGCACTGTCCTCAGCCTTATAGCTGTGATCAAATTCTACACCGGTAAACCTTTGATTGACCTCTATAGGTGTGCCAGCAGGCTTAGAAACAGTGCAAACTTTTAACCTGTCCAACAGGCTTAGAACCTGTCCTAGAAGACCAGGAGGTAGAACCATGTAAACATCCTCCACAAGATCACCTTGGAGAAATGCATTGAATACATCCATTTGATGTAGCTTCCAACCATGCATTGCACCTAAAGACAAGACAGTCCTCACAGTGACCATCTTACCACAGATGAAAAGGTCTACTGGTAATCCAACCCCTCTTGTTGAGTATACCCCTTGGCTACCAACCGGGCTTTGTATCTATCCACCTCTTCTTTAGTATTGTATTTGATTTTGAATACCCACTTACAACTGATGGCCTTATTATTAGGGGGTAAATTTACTAGCTGCCAAGTATGATTGTCTTGAAGGGCCTGCAGTTCTTGCTGCATAGCTGCTATCCACTGTGAATCATGAAGAGCCTCCTCATATGAATCTGATTCCCTAATAGATGAGATGTTGCAAATAACCTTATAATAAGGGTCTGAAATGTGAAGCATATGACATGTATGCTGACAAAGGATAAGCTGCACTCACCACAGCATGTGATAAAGGCTTCGACCCCTTATAGACATAGTCACTAATCCAACTAGGAGGCGTAGAGGTTCTTGATCGCAGCCAACTCCACGCTACTATAAAGTAGGAAGAGAGGGTCGCAATAGCTTTTACCCGATATGAGGGTCGGGATCGAATTCCACAGAGAGCTAGAAATTAGAGCTGGGTATCTATCTAGACTAGAATTGCGTGTATGCTCTTAATTGATCTTCTTATCATTTTTGGATTTTTCAATTATAAACTATAGTTATCAAGCTACTAGTTGAATCTAGACTATACTACGAAATAATTGCTAAAGTTGTATCTAATGGGAAGAAGGTCACTAGGGATCACCTAGGTGGCTAATTGACGGGTAGATGTTACTAAGGTTCGATTGACATAATTGGGGCTTATGCTATAACCGTTGCACAATTTTACCCACTCTTACACCTCACGGTAGAGAGAGTGATTTTGCCCAATTGACTCTCTCGAGACCAAATGGGTAGGCAAATTAGATCAAGCAACTAGGGTTCAAGTAGGGTGATTACTCTCTCGAGGTTTAACCCGTTAATTGGGACTATCATTTCTCATGAGTCCATCCCAATTCCTTGTTGGGTCAATTTTGGAGACTTAGACTCTATTTCTCAAGAAGAGTAAAATCCACAAAACACAAATCAGTGTTTGCAACCACCAATTTATAGATTAAAACATAAAATCAACCCAAATAGCAAACACCCATAGTCAATCTAACCCTAGATGGCAACACCCATCAATTGCCCACACTAGGGTTGAGCCATAACCCTAGCTAATGGGTTAAGCTACACATGCTTGAAAGAGAAAATGAAGAAATAGATGAAGAATAAGACATAATAACTAAATACTAAATTAAATTGCAAGAATCTATTGTTAATTTAAAGCTAAGATGCCAAAAATGGCTACAAAAGTTGTTCTCACGAGC